CTTTGTTGCACTGCTGCAATAAAGATCTCTTGGTTGCTCCTAGTGTTGTGGTCACTTTCCTTTCATGTCTGTGTATTTCATATCCTCCCAGGGTTATATCCCCTGCAATCCTCCTGTCTCAGAACCAGGTTCCTGGGATTACAGCTGTGTGCCACCACACCCAGCTAACATCTTATAGATACACTATAATCATACATTATCTCAGCAGGAAGAAATCTAGAAGACAAAGTGGCAGCAAATTAGGCAGCTTTTCATTACCTTAACAAACTACCTAAGACAAGCTACTATACATGTATATATATATATGAGGCTTATTTTGGCTCATTGTTTTGGAAGTGCAAGGTCCAAACAGCATGGCACAGGCTCTGGTAAGGCTTCCCTCCTTGGGTACCACTTCATGGGTGGGAGCCAGCAAATATGTCTGCACCTCTGATCTCTCCTCCTTACAAAGAAAACAGATTTAATTATGGGGCTCCACCCTAATGATTTAATCTAATTTAACCAACTTTCCAAAGGCCTCACCTTCTTCCTTTTTTTTTTTTTTTAAGAGAGAGAGAGAGAGAGGGAGGGAGAGAATTTTTTAATATTTATTTTTTTTTTAGTTTTTCGGCGGACACAACATCTTTGTTTGTATGTGGTGTTGAGGATCAAACCCAGGCCGCACGCAAGCCAGGCGAGCGCGCTACCGCTTGAGCCACATCCCCAGCCCAGGCCTCACCTTCTTGACGTCGGACTTTGGGGCTTAAAATCTTGCACGAGTTTGAGAGTGTAAGCATGTATGAGAAATCATATTTCAAACATCGCGGGCAGTAAAGCCAATGACTTGCCCGAGCTCGCGGAGCAAACTGGTAGTAGAGGCAAGGCCAGAACTATTTCCTGGCTGGTGTTTGAAAGTCTAGGCGTTTGAAAGACTAGGAGTTTGAAAGACTAAGAGCTCTGGCCCAGTGCAGCACGGCTCTTCAAACAAGCACTAGCGAATCGCTTTGACTTTACGTTCCCACTGCATTATGGGAAATGTAGTTTCCACTCTCCTTCCCGCCTCCTTCGTGCCCTGGGAGCGCTTTCCGAAAGGAGCCGAGTCAGTTCGGAAATAACCGGGCGTTCGGAGGCGGGCTTTTTCCTGTCCGGTTGCATTCTGGGAAAGGGCAGTTTCCGTTAGGTGCAGAGGGCTGAGGCGCGCCACCGGCCACATTCCCACGTGAAGCTCTACGCGATCCTCGCTTCGTGGGGTAGCTCCCTACTTGCGGCAGAGCGTCCCGGAAGCAGCGGGGAACCGGAAGTGGCCCGCGGAAGCTGAGGAACTAGTCCCAGAACCCAGTGTGAGGCGACTGGGAGCGCTGCGGCGGCGCCATGTCCCTGATCTGCTCTAGTGAGTATTGGCGGTGGCGGGGTCGTGTGTCGCCGAAGGCCGGAGAGCTGGTGAGAACAGGCCGCTGCGGCGCAGCTGTCGCTGCCGAGGCGGGAATGGGAGCCTGGAGGCCGAGCGCCGCCCGTCAGCAGGGTGGTCCTCCACTCCCTGCGGACTGCATTTGCGCAGTGCTGCGCAGTTCACGTAGCTCCTCGGGTTTGTAGTCGCAGGGACTATCTGAGGCCAACGCCTCGTTTTACAGAGTCTGGACAGAAGGAGCTGTCGCAGGGGAAACAGATTTCGGTATAGGAAACCCGAGGACTTGTCCAGAATCCAGCTACGGTTGGCTTTGTGATCTGGATCAAGGCCTTGGACCTCAGTTTCCCCAACTGCAAAATTGAAGGCATTGCACTGGGTGTTGTCTGAGGTCACGCTAGGGTAGTCGGGCTTCTGCAGTTTGCACAGATCGCCACAGCGAGCTAGAGACAGAGACAGGGCTCAGAGCCAGGTGTCTGGCTCCCAGCCTCACGCAGTATGACTAATAAAAACAGCGCACGTTTCTAAAACGCGTATTGGTTTACAACACACTTCCAAGTCTGTGGTCTCATTTTATCTTCACAAGAATTCCCAAAGGGAGAAATAACGATCCAGGTTTTTACAAAGGAGGACAGGAAGAGGGGATTTTATCTAAAGATGCATAGCTAGTAAGTGGCGGAGCTGAGTGTTGGAGTAGGTTCTTTGACCGTGAGTCCAAGCCTTTTTCACGCTGTTTGCATTTTTCTCTCTGGTGTTTTATTGTGGCATGCGGCTGTTTTCCCTTGCTAGCTTCCCATCCCTTTCTCTATTCTCAGAATATCTCCATTAATCCAAAGAGGGGAAGGGAAACGATAAACAGAAAAGGGAATTTCATGTGTTGAAAAATTTACAGTTTGCAAAGTATTTTCACATGCATTGTTTTATTTCAGTCTTGAGGAATCTCATTTTTATATTTCCCAGCACCATCTTTTGTAAATAAGGGAACATTACCCTGGAGGGTTCATAGATTGACTCTATGAGATAATTTGACAGTAGGCAGATTGACAGGATTAAAAAAACATTTTTAATTACATACTTATTTACATATGCACAGGAGTCCCACAAAATATGAGACTCCAAGAAGTGAAGCTTATATAGCACCCTGAGCTACAAGAAAAGAAGAGGAGCTTGGGACTTTGGGAAGGAGAACTATATGAATAAAGATTATCTTGCTATGTAGGCAAAAATACTCAAGTAATACAAGCTCTCTAAAGAATAGGTGATTGAGCATGGAGAAGGCTTTCGTTCACCTCTACTCATGTGATCCAGTCTTCCTTGGTTAAGGGAAGTTCAGAGACCTTCCCAGCATTTGCTAGGGAAAGGAAAAGGCTGGAGACTAGAGAGCCAGAGAAGGGCAGCAAATTCTGAGCCTGCGTCTGAGGCCTTCCAATCTTCTTGAATCCAAAATACCAGCATACCAAAGCTCCGTACTTTGGGGTCTTGTTTTCTGAGCCCCAGCACTTGTGCGCTCATTCACTTATCTGCTTAGATGTTCACTCGGTGTCTGCTGGGCATCTGCATTGTGCTGGAAGCCAGAGACCAGCTGTAATCACTATCCTTAAAGGGGTCACAATCTAATCTATGGAAAGGGCTGAAAATCATGATTGGCATATAGTAAACTCCATGAAAATGCTTGCTCTTATTGTAGTTCTTATTGCATTACTTTGCGATTTCCTTGATAATCTGTCAGAGTTCTAAACTGAGGTGGGTGGCAGAGATCTGAGTGACTTCGTGTGTATCTTCATGTCATGTGCCTATCCATCTGTGTTGAAAAATGAGATGGGCAGAGCTTGTTGACTACTCCCTAGGTACCTGGCTCTTAGTAGTTGTACAATAATTATTTGTTGACTCTGTCAGGAGACTAACTGAACGGTTAGCAAATTGCTTCCCGTTGGCTGAGAGTGTGGATGCGGGGGTCTTATTGGGGCTAACAGCATGTGAGGAATCATGATGAATTGCACATGTGATTGCACATGATGAATCCCATAGGCCCAACATTCCTTTCACTCCAAGCTCACTGCCTGCCTCTCTCTACAGTCTCCAATGAAGTGCCAGAACACCCATGTGTGTCCCCTGTCTCTAATCATGTGTACGAGCGGCGGCTCATTGAGAAGTACATTGCAGAAAATGGTACAGATCCAATCAACAACCAGCCTCTCTCAGAGGAGCAGCTCATCGACATCAAAGGTGCCTGCTGACTCATCTTAGTGCAGGGCCATCTTAGCTTAGCTGGAGAGAGTAGGGTGGGGGAGGCAGCCTGGTGGAGGAAAAGATGGTAATTGTTCATGGCTAAAGGGAGAAGAGGTAAAGGAAGGGAAGAGTCCCCCACTTATGGTTCTTCATACCTGCTTTGCCTCTCTTGACAGTTGCTCACCCAATCCGTCCCAAGCCACCCTCAGCCACCAGCATCCCGGCCATTCTGAAAGCCTTACAAGATGAGTGGGTGAGTTTCTGGTTGAGAATGCCTTCCCAACTTTGAAAGTATGCATCACTAGACTGGGACTTGGGGATTGGAAGGGTGGCGGTATCTCTCCCAGGGCTTTAGGCAAGCTAGGCAGGTGCTCTGTCATTGAGCTACCCCCAGCCTTTCTTTCTTGAGGAGCAAGACAGTAGCACAGTAATGGGCCTAGATTTTGTGAGGAGAATAAAATTAAAGTATAAGCCTTATAACATCAGGGGCTTGTTTCTTTCGACACTAAGAGCACTAAGAACAGCACCTGGTATGTAGGTGCTGTGAAATATGAATGAATGGCAAGTGAATGAGTGCAGCTTTGGGGGACTGTCTAGCTTATTATCTCACACAAGGATGGTGATCAAAGTGGCAGCAGCAGTATTAATCCCTTTTAGAGAGGTGACAACATTACATCTATGATTTGCTGGTAAATTAGAGAAGGTGGGGATGGGAAAGAGCTGGCTCCTTCTTCTATCCAGTGTTTGGTGTGGGGCAGGAGCTCGTGTTTGTCTGCATGTTTAGGGTCACCGGATGTTGCTTAGGTCTCTTGTTTTGGTCTGTGTGGGATAGGAGAAGGTTCTCTTCTTGGGGTGACTGCTGCATGCTCCTGTTCCCTCCCACCCCTCACAGTGGCATTTCCCTCTCCCAGGATGCGGTCATGCTGCACAGCTTCACTCTGCGCCAGCAGCTGCAGACAACCCGCCAGGAGTTGTCCCATGCTCTGTACCAGCATGATGCTGCCTGCCGTGTCATTGCCCGTCTCACCAAGGAAGTCACTGCTGCCCGAGAAGGTGCAGCCTCTCCCTTGCCACCCCCCACTCTAGGCTGGTCCTGCTTTGTACTATTCTGTTTCTAACTTTATCTTTTCTCCCAGCTCTGGCTACCCTGAAACCACAGGCTGGCCTCATTGTGCCCCAGACTGTGCCAAGCTCACAGCCAAGTGTTGTGGTGAGTGTCCCCTTTTCCTCACCAGCTGCCCATTTGTCGTGGCAGCCCACTTAGCCTCCTTCTCAGGTGTCTGGTGCTCTGTGCCTCTCTCACCTTCACCTTTCCTCTCTACAGGGTTCAGGTGAGCCCATGGATTTGGGCGAGCTGGTGGGAATGACCCCCGAGATTATCCAGAAGGTAAGTTGTGCTTTCTCTTGGTGGGAATGTTGATGGGCCCTCACTTTCACCATCTGCCTTGGGTGCAGTGTGAATGAAACCCCACACGTGTGGGAGTGGTGTGTGGTAGTGCAGAGCAGGGACTCTGAGCCCAGATCGCCTGGGCTTGTTTTTGGTTTTTTTGCTGGAAATTGAACCCAGGGACACTTGACCATTGAGCTACATCCTTGGTCCTTTATAATTTTTATTTTGAGATGGGGTTTCTCTAAGTTACTGAGGCTAGCCTTGAACATGTGATCTTCTTGCCTCAGCTTCCCAGGTTGCTGGACTTACAGGTGTGCACCACCACACCTGACTTCTCTGGGCTTGTATTTTGATGCTGCCACTTACAAGCTTTATAACCTTAGCTGACTTAGCCATTCTTTTTGTGTTTCATTTCCCTGGCTTCTCACCTGAGAATAATAGTACCTACTTCGGGACTTATGGTAGAAAAGATTTAATTTCTGATAAGTGTAAATTTTAGCTCTTGTTGTTATTGCAATTCTTTGTAGATATTAAACCACTTTGTGCCATGTTTCCTCCCACCCCCCCGTGAGGGAAACAGAACAAGGTTATCTTTATTTATACTTGAAGATCCTGAGATTCAGATTCAAAGACACAGCTCATAAGATGCACAGCTGGGCTCCTGATTCCAGTCCAGTGCTCTGTTGCACCCACAGGCCTTGTTTGTGGGGCTTGATAGTTAGTGTTTTTCCTAGTAGGTCAGCTTGTCAACATGCATCTTGAGTTCTCATCTTCATGGCACAGACCTGATCCGGGAGCTGTGCAGATCTAGTAACATATTATTGTTCTGCCATTTATCACTTCTGTGACTTTGGCTAATGACATCACTTCTCTGAGACCCAGTTTCCTCATCTGTAAAATAAGGTCATTGACACCCACCTCATAAGGTTGGAGTGAAAGTGAAAGAGATCAGCTAGCCTTTCCCGTAGAACTGGCAGGTGGCACTTTCTTGGTGATGCTTGTGATTGAAATTCAGCATGTCCTTGTCCTGGCAAGGTCACTTATCTCACATTGAGCCTCTTCCCCTTTGTCTTCCCTAGCTGCAAGACAAGGCCACTGTGCTAACCACGGAGCGTAAGAAGGTGAGTCTTTTTCTGGAGCCAGGAGGGAGAGCTGGCCTGACCTGAGGCCCTTGACTCCTTAGGGAAGCGGGTGCCTGAATCTTGCTCTTATAGCTGCTTTTCTTGGGCTTTTTCATTTTCTCAGAGAGGAAAAACTGTACCTGAGGAGCTGGTGAAACCAGAAGAGCTCAGCAAATACCGGCAGGTGGCTTCCCATGTGGTGAGTGGCTGAGGCCTTTCTAACTTGGAGATGGCCCCCCATTTGCTGTTTCTGGGGTGGGCCCACATGGGGACCAGTGAGTAGAAAGCTGTTCAGACCACTGGCCCTGTATCTTGCTTGGCTGCTGAGTTGCCAGGGCTGCTTCTCCTGCCCAGATCTGGGTTTCCTAGTCATGCAGTTGAAGAGGTCGGCATCTAGGCAGAAGGCCAAGCTGAACAGATAAGGAATAGGAGTCACTCTTGATCCTCTGGCTGGGGAGGATGACTGGAGATGGGGATAGCCGAGCTGTGTGGCTTTGTGGCTTGCCTCCATTTGGCTATGACTGGATTTGATGTGGCTTTTTTTGTAAAGGGATTGCACAGTGCCAGCATTCCTGGGATTCTTGCCCTGGACCTCTGCCCCTCTGACACCAACAAGATCCTCACTGGTGAGTCTGGTCCTGGCCCAGCAGGCTGGAACTGGGAGCAGCAGCAGGAGAAGATACATGATCCTGGTCCTGTTCATGGCTCTGGGGACAGAAATACCTTCTTAGATCAAGGGATCTGAATAAACCTTACTCAATTTTGGTCGTTGGGTCTTTTTCAGGTGGGGCGGATAAGAACGTTGTTGTTTTCGATAAGAGTTCAGAGCAAATCCTGGCCACCCTCAAAGGCCATACCAAGAAGGTCACCAGTGTGGTGTTTCACCCTTCCCAGGTAAGGGGTTCTCGTGGCCATTCTTGGTCCCTCTTTCTTGAGCCATTTTCAGTTTTATGGGGCCTCCTCATCCACACTATCTCCTTGGTGAAGTGGGGCTGAGGAGGGGCTCTGAATTAGAATGGGCATTGAGGGCCTGTGGAGTAGGAGATTGTTCTCTGCGTAGGACTAGCTGAAGCAGTGGTCTTCAAGCCATGGGCAGCAAGAAAATGCAGTTTTATAAAGCACGTTCACTGAAATATTTTATACCAGGAAAAGAAAAATTCTTTTATGACATGCTCATAATACAAACTATGGAAAATAAAGCTCAAGACAGTCTTGACTCGGAGGTATCAGAGGAAGACAGATCAGTGTCCATGCTGCTTCATGTTGACCGTTAAAATTGGTGTGGGTTCAAACAGTTGAGAACCTTTGGATTAGAGGATAAAGGTTGCTCATGAGAGTGGATGAGTGGCAAAGTGTTTATAAAACTAAACAATTCAAATTGAAAACACGTTTTCCTGCTTACTTGGTGTTAATATGTGTATCTTTTTTGAAAGTATGTTGTTAAAAGATGGCACTTTTTTTTTTTTTAAATGGTTGTAGATGGACAGAATGCCTTTATTTTGTTTATTTTTATGTGGTGCTGAGGATCAAACCCAGTGCCTCACGCATTCTAGGCAAGCGCTCTGCCACTGAGCTACAGCCCTAGCCCGGCACTTGTTTTTATCTTATGGCTTCTAATGTCCTAAACTAAACCAAATTAATCTGTTAAGAGAGATCCTCCCCTTCTTCTGGAGAATTAACTTGGCCCTGTAATCCAAAAGTGAGGGCTACGCAGAAACATGGCCTTGCAATCCTTTCCAGATCTAGTAGCCATTAGTCACTCAGGGCAAAAGGGCAAATCAAACAAGTTCCGTTCCTCAGTGGCTCTAGCCACACTGTGATCCAGAAAGTGGAGTGGGAATCGCTCTCTGTTGCAGTTAACCTTCTTACCACTAGGTGGTGAGGCCTCCCAAAGGGCTGATGTTTGGCCTTTTACATAGTGTTAACCGTTGGCCCCCTGGAGCATCATTGTTGGGTAGATGGGTTTAGGCATTGCAGGGCCAAGAGGAGAAGCAACTATTGGTAGCTGTGCCAGTCTTGTCCATGGGCAAGATTGTTATGAGATCTATCTCTCTCTCTCTCTCTCTCTCTCTCTCTCTCTCTCTCTCTCTCTGACATTCTGCCTCTTGGCTTTCGTTTCAGGACCTGGTATTTTCTGCTTCCCCGGATGCCACCATCAGGATTTGGTCTGTCCCAAACACCTCTTGTGTGCAGGTTGTCCGGGCCCATGAAAGCGCTGTGACAGGCCTCAGCCTCCATGCCACTGGTGACTATCTCCTGAGCTCCTCTGATGACCAGGTGCGGTCTCAGCCAGTGCCCTGAAGAGGCCTGCTGGTCCCTGAGCTTGAATGTCCTGGGCGGAGAGGGCATCCTGCTAACTGCGGCCAGTTACCCAGAGCCCCAAGAATACTTCCTCAGCTGGGAGGAGCTAGCTTTGCCAGCACTTGCTGCACCAGGGTCTCTCCTCCTGAAGGACCACCAAACCCTGGGGAACCCATCTCATTGGCTTCTCTGTCTCTTTTCAGTACTGGGCCTTCTCTGACATCCAGACAGGGCGTGTGCTCACCAAGGTGACAGATGAGACCTCTGGCTGCTGTAAGTTGCCTCAGAGGCAGCAGGCTTTCTTATTTGCTGTTTAACATTTATTCTTAGGGTTTATTTAGTCACTCGCTCATTTGTTCTTTTAAAGACAACACTTCCCACTAACATCTGCCTAATGCCAGGCTTTACTATGCTGGGCACTTTAGAAATGTGGAGAACAGGTTCCTGACTTGCTGCTCTTGGTCTCCCCCCATGTGCTCTGACCATGTGTCCATCTCCCTTTCTTCATAGCTCTCACCTGTGCACAGTTCCACCCTGATGGGCTCATTTTTGGAACAGGAACCATGGACTCTCAGATCAAGATCTGGGACTTGAAGGTAGGACATGGCAGGCCTCCATCTGGGGTATGGGTTTGGGGAGCTGAATGCTTATGGCATCGGCCCTGGGAATGTCCTAGGGGTGGGAAAATAACTGGCTTTGGGCTAAGGTGTGATGCCTGTGGTATGGAAACCCTGGGCTGGACCCTCTGCACTTGCTATACCTGCTGGCTGTCTTTTCCTAAAGGACAGAGGAAGATGTTTGAGAGGTAAGAGTTCAGTGGCCTCATTTTCTTCCTCTTGTGTCCAGTGGGTGACGTATTTTAATATACCCCCAACTGTAGGAACGCACCAATGTGGCCAACTTCCCTGGCCACTCGGGCCCCATCACCAGTATCGCCTTCTCTGAGAACGGGTACTATCTGGCTACAGCAGCCGATGACTCCTCTGTCAAGTTGTGGGACTTGCGCAAGCTAAAGAACTTCAAGACGTTGCAGCTTGACAACAACTTTGAGGTGCACCCCCTCGGCAGTGTTCTTGGTTGCTTCTCATCCTCATCTATCGATTAATTATCAAACTAAGCTGCTTCTGTTTGTCCCTGGTTGCTCTATAGTTTATGTTCCCTTTACATAATCATTTTTTCTGGTTCTGGCAGGTGAAGTCTCTGATCTTTGACCAGAGCGGCACCTACCTGGCCCTCGGGGGCACAGATGTCCAGATCTACATCTGTAAACAATGGACAGAAATTCTTCACTTTACAGGTACAGGCTGGCCCTGGGGTTCTGAGACCTTTGGGTGCCCAGGCCCAGAGGGAAGTTGAAAGCCTCCCTGGGGTGGGAACCTCTGGGTTTGTCATGAATGTGCCCAGGCAGCTTTTGAATCACTCCCTGAGGCAGGAGAGCATTGTTTTCAGGGAAAGGACTTGACTGTAAGCATTAAAACTCACTCTCCTACTCCCCAGCTGCATGACTTTGGGCAAGTTACTTCCTAGAGCCATGGAAAAATTGGAATGATAATCATACACTCAACTGGGATCGTTGAGGTTTACATGAGAATATCCATAGACACAGGTTAGAACAGCGACTGGGACATGGTGAGGATTTGCTGCTGTTGTTCACTGTTGTGCATTAGTCCATGTAGGATTTGAACAGTGAGTAAGAGAGATCTGGTCTTTGCAATAATGGAATGAGCAATCAGTTAGGAAGGCAGGTTAGAGTGATTCCACAAGTCCTCATTAGTGGCAGGTACAGAGCCAGTGCACACTGGAGTTCCGACCTCCTCCTGGTCAGATGGCCCTGGCCTGAAACTTTCCTTCACAGCTTAACTTAGTCATTTATGGGGATATTGGCATTGCTTTACAGAGTGTGCCAGCTGGTGACATGGAGATGGCATGCATGGTAACAGGGTGCCCAGTGCTCACTTAAGTGCTGATTGAATGGTAGCTGCCACTATCTTTTTGGTGAAATTCTTGTCCTCATTAGCAGATAGTGGTCAAGAATTCAAGTTACTGGCCCACACCTCACCTTCTCCTGAGCTGCTCAGTGTCTGTGCAAAGGGCTTGAGGCCTGACGACCTGGGCCCTGTGTTTTCATTCGGAGCTCTTAGGAAGAAAGCAGGCTGAAAGCATAGGGCAGGTGTTTTAGTGGAGAGTGGGTGGACGCTAAGTCTAGGGACAAGTCACTCATTACCATGAAGGTGAATTCCTGCTGGGTTTTAGGGTGGATGGCCATGAGTTACCCCAGTTAGAATCAGACACACACTGGCAAACCGAACACAGTGAGTTGCCCAGAAAGCTTAGGTGAGACGGCGGCTGGCCTTCCTTTATTCATTAATCCCAACAAAAAACAGGTCCTCAGTGCCTGCTTCATGCTAGGTACTGAGGACAGAGTAAGTGGTGAGTAGATAAGAGCTGCCTGCCCCCGTGTGTCGTTAGCTGCCAAGAGCAGACTAGTAGTACCAGCCGGGTGATAAGGACCTGATGAAGTTATGTTGGGAGAATGTCACTAGGGGCTGGTGTTGAGGCCTGAAGGAGGAAAAGCCTTTTCATAGCTGCCTTGTGTCTCTCTCCTCAGAACACAGTGGTCTGACCACAGGGGTGGCCTTTGGGCACCACGCCAAGTTCATCGCTTCGACTGGCATGGATAGGAGCCTCAAGTTCTACAGCCTGTAGGCCCCACGCCTTCTCTGAGAAGCTGGGCCTCATATCAGTAGTGGGGTAGAATTTGGGGTGGGAGGGTGGGGGGGGAGGGGGCATCTGTGGGTGGGACATTCACATCATTTCACTCTGGTCTGGGTGGTGGCCTGAGAGCCATGGCAGCATGGACCACCCTCATCCATGTGCCTCTAAGCCCCACAGGAATGGACATAGGAGGAAGAGCTGTCACCCTGTAAAGGCTCAGGGTTGCAGCCCGGGGCCTCTCCCCTTGAGGTGGTGGCTGTTCTCCCCACTGTCTCAGTTCCTGTGAGACAGGGAGAGGCTGAGCCAAGGGCACTGTGAAGGGGATGGGCTTGAGGGAGCGCACAGGTTTTTGTAAGCAGTGATCTAGTTTCATTAAAAAAAGAAAACAATAAACGTACCACCTCCTTGTGTCTGTCTGTATCAGAAGCACCCTCAGCTGGGAAGGTCGAGGGGCGGGGGGAGCACATGGCCCTGACTACCAAGAAGCCCTTCGTTCTTTCTTCTCTGCACTCTTCACTGCATAGCAGAAATAAAAAACTCTACAGCCATTTTTCAGGCCTTGGCCTTGAGTCTCCTGTCTGCACGTGCCTGGGCTTGGCTTCCGCAGTCTAGAAGGGCGGGGTACCCAGGGAAGGCTAGCCTTAGGCTGCTGGTGAGGGGCTGAGCCTTCTCAGGAAGGATTTGTTTAGTTGCAGGTGATAGAAAACCTGTCCCCATTGGCTTGAGTGGGGAGAGATTTTACTGACTGGCAGTTGGAAAGTTGTAAAGCTGCTTCTGGAAGAGACAGCAGTGAGCAGTAAGAATCAGAAGAGAAGCATGAATGGAGGGGATTAATGTAGGGTCCAGTGGCTGCTTCAGATCCAGAGGTCACAAGAGGCCACAGGGGAGGAAGCCGGAAGGAGAGTTGTAGGTGAGGGTAGGATGAGCCTGAGGCTGGAAAGACTCAGAGGAACAGGAAGGAGGCCACTGAGTGTGGTGACTGAAGGGAGTGGCCACCTGGTCTCTGGAGAGGGCCATCCTGATGGAGTGTTGGGGCTGGAAACTTGCTTAGAGTGGGGGAGAGAATGTGAGGGAGCCAGTGATGATGGACAAAGGGATTGTGCTGGAGGGGGAGCCAAGTAATGGGGTGTTCCCTGGAGGTTGTCCAAATTGTCGTTTCACTAGATCCCAAGCAAGTTCCACTTGTCCTGCATCCATGTCTGCCTGGAGGGACCAGAACGCTTAGTATATACTGAAAGCTCTGGAGAATCTTGGGAGTAAAGAAACTAATTTTTTAACCAAAATTTTTTAAGTATTTGGCCAAATAAGCCTTTCGACTGTTTGGTCTGACTGCCTTCTCCAGTCATGACCCTAACATTCAGCCTCTGAGAGCCCAGAGGTATTGGAGCAGGTTGGAGACAGGGAAGGGGCCAGGGCTTGGCCTGGGGACACCTGGAGCTAAGCTGGACCCTCAAATTAGCACAGCACTAAAGCCATTGGATGATTTCTGGTGTTAGGTATTAATGTGCATTCTTAGGGTCTGCTTTAGTTTCCAGGAAAAGTAAGGAGGCTCTGGAGGACAGAGGTTCTTGGTAATCCCTAGGTTGGGGGCACTGTGTTCACCCTAAGATTCTGAAACCTGTGGTATGTCCATGCATAGAGAGAGGAAGCCTAGAATACATCTCTAAGGGACTGTAATGCCATCCCCCATCACAGCTGTCCTAGAAGAGTGGAGGTGTGTTGCCATTCTCCATCACCCGCCCTACAGCCGTCTGTCCACTCAAACAAGCTGCTCTCTGGACACTGCATGCACATTTTGCTTTGTAGTCTTGCGGGTGGAACCTAGGGCCTTGTGCATGCTAAGCAAGCGCTCTACTACTGAGCTAGGCCCCTGCCCCACACTGAATTTTTTTTGTACTTGTGCTAATCAGTTATTTTGACACATCATACATAACTGGAGTTTAACTTCTCATTGTGGTTGTACCTGATGTAGAGTCACACAGGCTGTGTCATCATACATGCCCCTGGGTAATGTCCAATTCATTCTCCACATTTAACCCTTAAACAACTGGCTGGGCTGTTCAGCCACCCTCAGCGGTTTCTTATTCCCAGCCCACCACAGAGGGCTTTGTGCTTCTTCCTTCGCAGTACAGGGTAGAAGGCAGCAGACTGTGGAACCAGACTCCCTGGTTTAAATACAGCTCTGGCACTTAGTAGGCTGTAGATTAACCTTGGGCAGACAGACAAGTTTGGGTTTCTTCATAAGGTGGGGCCATCATATGGACTGACTGAATGTAAGTGCTCAGAACATGCGGCACATAATAAATACTATGTTTTTATATTACTGCTGCTGCTACTGTATAGTTTCTTCTCCCTGGAGTCTTCTCTCCCAAAGATGGGCTGTCCTCCAGGAAGCCTCTAGTGCCTGTTCCCACCCTGCCAGGTGAGTGACCTCTCTCTGAGGTCTGGCTCAGTCTCCAGCTAACTAAACATGTTACCATGAAGGTGTTTATGCAAGTCTCTAAACTTGATTTGATCTTAAGGATGGGACCCTGTATTTGTTGGTGTCTTTCAACTTCACGTCCCACAGCTGTTAACTGGCAGATTGAGACAGTCATCCCTGGGGGCTCAGTCTAAAGCCCAGCCTGTCTCCCTCCTTCTTTGATACATAAAAGCAGGGGGTTGGCAGACTAGTAGCAGTTTCAATGAAATGGAATGGAGAGCTGTCACCCCCTGCCACACATCTCACTTGGCTCAGCTGCCTTGGAGGTGGCTCTCTGTTGTGGGTTGGTGGGTCCTAAAAGGCTCGCCTTTTCTGAGCCCATATTGTCCAGTAAGCCGTAACAAGCTCTCTGTTTTGTATCCAAGAGCATTCAGAATTCTAGGCATTAAAGGAAGCATTAGGTGGCATAGTCAGTACTTCCTGTGTCCTAGGGGCACATAAGTAGTCTTTGTATGCTCAAACCCCATGTCTCTCTGCTGTTGAAAGCAAGGTGCTTGAACTTGGAGCACTAACCAAGGAGGTCACCTGGGGGCGGTGTAGTTTCATCAGTCTCTGTGATTACCTGGAACCAGGACTCAGCTCCTCTGTCCCCCAGGACAACCCTGCCAGCAGGTGGTGTCAGCTCTGTTCTGTAGATGAGAGAACACACTCAGAAGTGCCCTGGCCTAGGCAATCTTCTAAGTAGTGGAGCTGGGATTTTAAGCCATCTGGCTTCCGGGACAGTTTTTAATCCCTCCACAACCTTCTGGGAGAGCTGTGCCATGGTTAAGTGCGGGCTCTGGAATTGGAAGCCCAGGTTTGAACCCAGCTCTGCAGTGCTCAGCGATGTGTGTCTTTATGTCTCAGTTTCCATATCTGAAAAATGAGCTCAGCTGCCCACTTGGTAGGCTGTTGAGGATTAAGTGAACTAGCACTCAGAGGCACTCGACAGATATTTATGCATCTCTCTACGCTGACCCGTGATGGCCCCCGGTGATTGATGTCTGTAGTATAAAGGTTGGCTTGACTGCCTTCTCCATTCATAATCCTAATATTCAGACTCTGAGGACACAAAGTGGCTGGAACATAACCCAGACTAGGAAGCTGGTGTATACAGAACACAACCATGACACTCGAGTTCTCATAGGGGTGCCAACATAGGACAGGGGTACAACTGGTTTGAAAACCACGTAAATCTGGAGGGGAGCTGACAGCAGCACTTTGGAAAATCAGAAGTTCACTAGGTGGACACAGGACAAAGGAACAGAATGGGGGTGACTGGTGGAAGCCAAGGAGCCCATGGCCTGTGGTGCAGAGAGAGGAGGCTTGAGATAGCAGGCTCACCAAGTCCAAGGTCCTACCTGCTGACTTTCAAAATTTGGAACAAATCCTTAACCCACATGTTGAGAAACTTACTGTGAAGCATTCACAATATCTAAAACATACTTGTACAGTTTAAAGAATAGTGAAGAACCTTGTATCCTCCAGCCAGACAAAAAATTAGCATGAGGATCCTGAGGGCGTTTCCTCAATGCATCTTTCCCTCCGTCCCCTACATAGAGGAGAAAACCAGAATTCTGAAATTGGTGTTACCAATTGCTTCATTTGGGTTATTTTGTTGAGTTTTGAACTTTTTATAAATAAAATTATTCAACCTGCTTTCTTTTACTTCACTTTCTCAGTGTTTTTATTTTCGTTTTCCCCGTGGTGCTGGGGATCAGACACCTCACACCTGCTGGGCAAGTGCTCTGCCACTGAGCCACACCCCAGCCCCCAGTGTTATTCTTGATACTGTGATTACACATGTGCTCATTCACTGTTGCACAAAGGCAGTGGCCTCAGAGGACACCAGGCTGCTGGGACGTGCACACTGGTGATAGGAGCAGGTCCTGCGTGGCCCAGGGGAATTATACTTCTAATTTGCCTGGTTTTTAAATTCATCAGCACCAAGATCAAGATAGGTGAGGTTCCTTGCTGCCCCCCTATTTGCTCTTACACTGAGGACTGAGCCCTCTGGATCCCAGCTTCCCCAGGTGCCTGCATCTGGACTCCCCAGCCTTTGGCAGGCTCCAGGCCCAATTTGCAGGCTCCTCCACTCAAGGAGCCAGAAGGTTAAGGTCTCTAGGATTCTGTAGAAATTCCCAAAATAGAAACTGGTTTACTTCCCAGGGTTCTTGCTTTTATTTTTGTCCTGTCTGCATGCTTTTTTTTTTTTTTTTCTGTTTTCTCATGTTAGTTCACAATGGTTTAAACGTGTTTTAAAATGTTTACAACCTGGCATTTTAGTGTTTGCTTCAGAACATCAATCTAGCCCTGCTGCTGGAACAGAAGTGGGGCCTGGCCATGGAGCTGTGCTGCCAGGAGTTAATTCTGGGGGGTCGTGGGGGGGGTACTAGGGATTGAACTCGGGGGCACTCGACCACTGAGCCACATCCCCAGCCCTATTTTGTATTTTTCTTAGAGACAGGGTCTCACCCAGTTGCTTTAGTGCCTCCCTGTTGCCGAGGCTGGCTTTGAACTCATGATCCTCCTGCCTCAGCCTCCTGAGCCACTAGGACTACAGCGTGTGCCACCCACACCCGGCTTCAAGGAGTTCATTTTTATTGAAGTTGAGCAACAGATTGTGAAGCATTCTCTCTTCTTTATTTAAGACAAAGCACCTTTGGTGACATCAGTTTGATCCTAATGCAGAGTGTACATATGTGGGAGTCAGAGGTAGGGGAGGAGAAATAGGGGTCTACTCTAGTCTCACTTAGCTGTGGCCCAAAAGTCAGGAAGAAGAAAAAAACAACAAAAGAAAATGAGCTTCCATGAGCAGCTCTGCTCCCTGCCACAAGTCAGCAAAAGCAGTTTGCTCTCCTTCCCGTCAGGTCTGACAGCTTGTCCCAAGGCCCAGATGCATGCTCCCTCCAGAGATGGTAACAGGGAAGTTAACAAAGTTGGGAGATTTAGATTTTATTTTTTCTTCCCAGTACCATGGATCAAACCCAGGGGTGCTCTACCACTGAGCTACCTCCCCAGCACTTGTCATTTTCTATTGAAACAGGGTCTGGCTGTTGTGCTGTTTTTCACCCAGGCTGGTCTCTAATTTGACATCCTCCCTTGCCCTAACTTCCCAGGTTGCTGGGCTTACAGGCGCGCCACCACACCCCGCCTGGATTTTGATATCTAGGAAAGTCAGCTTAGATTGCCTCCCTTCAGCAAGAGCACAGGGAACCTGGTGCCACATAGATTTCCTGTCTTTCTGTAAATCCTGGTACAGAGGTGTTGACAAAAAACTATTCATAATTTAAATATCAATTACAAAGTTACCTGCCAAAAAATTTTGTACCTCCACACACTTGAAAGTCGAAAACAACTGCACTGTCACAGGAGAATCACAACAAAGCAAATGAATACTTTTATGCTTCTTTAAGTTAGGGGAAGGTCTTTGCTATACTCAAAGATACAGATACGAGGGAAAGAAATTCACTGCTAGATAATCCTCTCAGTAAGATGAAAGGAAGAACCCCACAAAGAAAAGCCTGTGGGGCTGGGGAGGTGGCTCAGTGGTAGAGCACACACCTGGTGTATACAAGGCCCTGGTTCAGTCCCTAGAACTGGAACAAACAAGAGCAATGGCCAATCAGTGGAAACTTTAAGAATAAGATGTTACCTCCTTGATTTGTGAATGCTCTTTACAGGCAAGGAAGGAAAGACAGACATGATAAAAGAGCAATTTGTAAGATACAGTGGCTTAACTTCTTTATCAGAGCTCCATTTTAAGATAGCAATGCTATTTGCTTTCTGCTGCTCAGATAGGCAAAGATTTAGAGTGATACTGGTCTGTGGGGGAGCAGCCACCCACACAACCCCAGAGCCCTGCAGTCTTATGGGTGTGCATTTTTTAAATTTTTTTTTTTTAGATGATGGACTTTTATTTTTATTCATGTATTTATATGCAGTGCTGAGAATTGAACCCAGTGCCTCACACATGCTGGGCAAGTGCTCTGCTACTGAGCCACAACCCTAGCCCCAACAGTTCCATCAGTGAATTTCTTCTGAGGAAAAAAGTATACGAAGATTGTGAGTTTATATCATTGCATTACCACTTGTTACCCAACCGTAGGTTTGGTTTCTTTCAAAAGGAGATCAGATATGTCATAGTTAAACCATCATTTAGGGAAAACATCTATTAAAAATGATAGGAAGCCAGGTGCTGTGGCATATGCTTGTAATCCCAGTGGCTTGGGGAGGTGGGTGGCTGAGGCAGGAGGATCTCATGTTCAAAGCCAGCCTTAGCAACTTAGCAAGGTCCTAAGCAATTCAGCGAGACCCTGTCTCTATTTTTAGTGTGGTGCTGAGGATCGAACCCAGTACCACTGAGCTACAATCCCAGCCCAAGAGACCCTGTCTATAATTAAAATATTAAAAAAGGCTGGGGATGTGGTTCAGTGGTTAAGTGCCTATGGGTTCAATCCCCAGTAGGCCCCCTCCACTAAAAAAACTATAATTGGAAATGATGCAAGATATTTACTCTTGTTTTAAAAAAGTTAAGAAGTCAGTTTGACTCCAGTTGGCACTGTGGAACAACGCTTTGTTTAAACAGAACCTCAGTGCCATTCCTCAACCCAGCTTCCTGTGCCGACTGAAATTCTGTAGGGGCCTGTCGGATGAGGGGGAGGGAGAAGGAGCAGATGCTGATGGCCCAGAACCCTGGCAGCCAGGCTCCTCCAGGCAACCAAGCCCAGAACCCTCGCTACTTCCACACTGACCCTGTAGGGTACGTCCTAGGCCCTCCTGTACAAGAGGGAAGCTGGCAGGGCAGGACTGGCTGGCGCTATTCCCCAGCTGGGAAGACAAGTCCAGAGAATGAAGTTACCTAATTTCCGAGGCAGGTGCCTGGCTTTCTGGTCCTCTGTGTCCCTGTTCTGCTGACACTGCCAGAAAAGCCCGAAGGCAGCAGTTTCCCAGCGCCTCCTCTTCTAGGCAAGCAAACCTGTTCTCCTATAGGGGGTGTGGGGTGGGGGCTAGGCGAGCCTTAGTTTGGGGTCAGGAAGAAGTTCTAGTTAGTAGCTAATAGCACTCAGTACCTGTTGGCTGTTACACACTGATCTAAGCATTCTTCTTAACTCATTTCATCCAATATTCCTGCGGGGATAGGTACCGTCTTCATTTTACAGGAGAAGGTGGACTCAGAAGTGCCGTAATGCACTTCATATCACACAGCTGGTAGGAAGCAGAGCTGTTACTCGGGTGGCCTGGCTTGGAATCCATCTGCCTGACCATGACCCTGAGGATGAAAAGATCAGGTAGGCCAGAGCCAGCCGTGAGGCAGGGCGGCCTGCGTAGAACCAAGGCCACTGCCCGACTTGAGCACTGGAGTTCCCTTCGTGCCAACTCTAAGCACACGTGCTACCAGAGGCCCCCCAAAGCCTCTTCAGCCTTTGCTACCAGATTCTTCTCCCTATGCCCCAGCCTGAACCCACACCCTCCCCAGCCACTCCCCCTCTCCAGGTTCAGTCTACCTGTCAGTCTCAGGGGGTCTTTGCTGGGATAAAGGCCCAAGTTATGCACAGGGAAGGGGGTTGGCAGCGTAGTCAGCATGGAGCTGACCTGTCTGGTGGCTGTGTCCAGGTGGCAGGGCTCAAAGGGAGTTGGGAGGCCACAGGAGTGAGACGGAGGTTAGGGGTCAGCAGCGTAGCCCAGCGTCCCTTAGTGCCAGGCTGGTAGACAGGGAGCTCCGGCATCCCCTTACCCTGGGGGACAGCTACACAGGTGCTCTGAGGCTGCCCCAGTCAGAACTCCTGAGGGCGAAGGACAAGTCTCGTGGCCGTCAGTTCCCGCCAGGTTTCCCAGTCCCAGATCCGCTGTTTGGACTCCACCTTTTGATCTTCCAGTAACTTTGTGATGTCGTCTCTGGAATGCAGAGTCCCCTAAATTCAGGCCTGGGAGACGGCAGACACTGCCCAGGGCATGGAATATTAAGTGTTGTCATGGGGTGGTTAACCACGGGATACACTCCAGGACTGCATCATTAGGTGGTTTCCCAGTCACATGAACATGAATGGTGTAGTGTATACACCTAGTTGGGGCAGGTCAATTGCTGCACATGGCTCATTGATGCTCTCGGGAGCCTTAGCAAACTCGGAGAAACACCAGGCTTCGGCTGGAGTAACAGGGTGTGGCTTGGGAGGCTGAGGTAGGAGGATCGTGAGTTCAAAGCCAGCCTCAGCAAAAGCAAAGTGCTAAGGTGAGCCCCTGTCTCTAAATACAAAATAGGGCTGGGGATGTGGCTCAGGGGTCAAGTGCCCAAGTTCAATTCCCAGCATCCCCCCTTTCCCCCAAAAGAATTTTTCAGCTCTGGTATCTTGTGGTCTGTTGTTGACTTAGTCATTATGCAATGCCCCCGACTTTCAAAGTTGCGACCTCTGTGACAGCTGACGCTAAGGAACAGGTTTCCTCGGACAATAATTCTGTTCTAGATTTCGTGAGTCACTTCACACCAGCCTTTGGTAGGTTTGAAACAATGGTTTATTGGGTGCCTCTCAGACTGAGCCCAGGCCCCCCTCAGGCCCACAGACCCAGCAGCCTGCAAAACCAGGGCAGCAGCCAGCAGCAGAGGAGGACCCAGAGGAGTGGCCTTGGGTTGGAGTGCCTGCTGGAGCCTGCTGGAGAGAGGGATGGCAAGGAGTGTGGGGCTGGCCCCACCCCCACTCTTCCACACTGACCTTCCTTGACCTTGGCAATCCCACGCCTCTGCCACCACTACTAGCTGCCTTTCACAGATAAGGGGCCCAGGGCGAGCGGGGCTATTTCCTCACTGAGTGGCGTTACACCACGTCCTGCCTTCTCTAGGGCCAGAGCTTCCCCGTTTTGTCAGCATTTCGGGGGGCCCGAGGCCTGAGGACCCACCACCAGCCCTGGTACCTGTGGTCCTCCATCCATAAGAGTCCCGGAAGCCAATGGGTCCTGGGGAGCTCACGATGTCCACGGGCCTGGTGGTGCTGTTGTGGAAACCCGAGGATCGTCGCTGTCCTGCCCGGGGAAAGAGCCATACCACGGGTTGGACTCTAGCTCCTCGGGGCCCGGCGTCGGATTAAAGAACTCTCCCCTTCCCCTGGACTCACTTGCAGTCCCCAAGGCACACGTGGGGGTGCATGGCTGCAGCCTCGAGGGGTAGCAGGCAGAGGCGCTGCAGAAGAAGTAGACCTGGTGGCAGGAGAGAGACGTCAAGGCTTCGGGGCTACTGGGCAGGAAGTGCCAAGCAGGGAGGTGGCATTGGCTGTGGGGCCAAGTTTATGCTGCTGCCAGCCAGAGAAATCTGGGTGTGCTGAGTGCAACCGCTGCCCTGTGCCCACGAGGCTCAGGGTTGTATGTGTTGCTTCCCCAGTTGGGGTCCAGGCCTTTCTCCCGAGGGCCCAAGACTGCAGTAGAGGGCCCTGCAGGCAGGGACCACTGCGCTGTTGGGTGGAGCCCCAGCCCTCAGCCCCTCCACCACCCCGCCTCTGGTGCTGAACGGCTACAGGGCTGGATGGCTCCCTTCCAGAGGGGATTCCGAGGTGGGGTTTGACCAGACAGCTGGAGAACCCATTTGCCATCCCGTCTTCCTGGCCCCAGAGACTAGTAACTGGGGACAGAGGGGATGACCAGTTACTACCATTTCCAGAAACAGGGTCAGGGGGAAACACCCAAGAGGAGTAGAGGCAGGAAGTGACCTGACCCGGTGCCTACAGGCCCCACCTATGGGTGCCCCTCATCTAGCCTGGGAGCGTCTCTTGGCTCAGGAGGCTGCATGCTGGCGAGACGAGAAGGCAGCCTGCCAAGGGTGCCTACCAGAGGGATTCGTCTGCGTCTGTTGTAGTAAGAGGCAGTGTGTAAAGCAATCTGCATTCTGTGACAGATGTGTTGTGCAACAGCCCCAGAGTTGGAGAGTACTATGCTGCTTTTGGTGCCATCTGCATATTAATATTCAGCAAATCTAAACAGTCTACGCTTATCCACTTTTGCCTTCTAGAGCAGTTGCCGAGTTATAAGAAACTCAGTGAACACGCTGCTGTTTCTGGAATCGGAAGCGAGGCCATGCTAGCACACCGTGGCTAGCTCAGATTCAGAGCTGACTGCAGCCCAGCTGGGCATTCCCCTTCTTCCTTCTGGAACCGTTTGTCAGTGGCTTCTGCACTGACCTAAGATCAGAACCCTGTGTCCACTGCTGTCTGCCACACTCGGTGAAAGCCAACCGCCATCCTGGGCCGGGGTGAAGGGCATCCATTCACAGGGTGCTGGGGACACTTGGAGACCAGCTTATCCCCAACTCAGATGAGGGACTTGGGTCCTTCTTACCGGGCCCCTGAGGGCTCTCTGGGAGCTAAAGTCCAGGAGAGCAAAGGTGGCGACCGTGAAGCGCTGGTAGTGAGACCGGAAGGGCAGCTCTGCCTGGTCCAAGGATACCATTTGGGTTCTGTAGCTGTCACCCTCGAAAGGACACCTGGGAGGGGGAGAAGTCAGGAGGGTCTCTGGGAGGTGAGGCAAGCTGGGAGGGAGCCCGGGGCAACTCAGTCACCTGCTGTCACTCACCCGTCTGACAGGATGGGCCACTGGGGCTGCTGGAAGGGGTTGGCACTAGGAGTGGCCCAGCACTGGTGCAGCACCAGGACCAGACCAGGGTCAGTCCTCTGCACAAGACGGACCTCCACGTGGACTGGTTCTCGGAGCAGCCTCACCAGGGGGTAGTCACCCTCCCCGTAGTAGGAGCTGAAGGTCTCGTCTGTAGGGAGAGGGGCTGCTCTGTAGGAAGAGGGGCTGTGCCTCAGGAAACCGGGAGCAGGAAGAGAAGGCATCGGGGTTACCGTACCCTTGGCAATTCGCAGCTCCAGCCGCAGGGGGCCCGACTGAGTCACGGGGGCAGGCGACGGGGGCGGGGCGATGGATGCCTGGATGGGTAGGAAGTCACCAGCGTTGAAGAGACAGCGGACGTGAAGCCTGGAGTCGAGAGCGAGAAGGTGGGAGAAGACGAGTCAGGGCGTCCCGTTGGCCCCAAGAGGGTACCAACGCTATGGTCACCACACGGGGAGAGGATGGACACTCCAAGCACAGGGCCACGGGCAGTGCTGACCAGCGGGCAGAGGAAGCTCGGCCCTGCCCACCCGGTCTTTCTGGGACAGCTGGGTCCAGTTGTGCCAGGCCCTACTCTAGGAGAGGATCAAGATGACAACAGGGCCTTCTGGGGCTGGCTCCTGGTGGCATTCAAGACCTTTGGAGCCCGACAATTGGGCCTGGTGGGAGATCTGGGCTCGCAACTTCTTAGCGACAGGACCATGAGCGAGTGGTTTAACCCAAGCTCCAGTGGCCGCCCTCTGAGGGCTCTGGCGAGGACTGGGGCCATGAGTCCTCAGTGAGAACAGGAGAGCATCGGCGTCTTGCTCGAACCTGCAGCTGTGGTGGGCCTGTCACCGTGTCTAGTGCCCACATGCCAGTGGTCCTTCATCCCCACTGCAGATGGGCCTGCTCCTGGCTCCAGGTAGGTGCTGTGTAGCCATAGTGACTCCACCCTGTTCTGAAGGCCCCTCGCCCTGTCTGGCCTGGTATCATCTTAGGGGCCCTCCTGCTTAGTCTTGAGGGGTGACAGCCGTTTTTCCTCTGGGAATCCCCGATTACTGTGCTGAATTTTGACTTATTCCAACAGCACCCAAGTCCAAGTGTCCACAGCATGACAGGAACTTCTCTCCCCACCTCCTGGGCCAGAAGGACTCTGCTTCAAGCAAAAGACACCTGGGCCCTTACCCCAGTTTCTTGCCCAACCTTCTTGGGAGGTACGGCGGGGAGAGAAGGGGATACTTGGGCATCCACATGGTGCCAAGCACAGAATTCCTACAACCCATAGTTGGGATCAGCTCTCCAGCAGGGACCAGGCTGGGGCTGGTGTATGGTCTACTGTGGTCACACAATAGCAGTGGAGGTTCAAAGCTGGGCATGACAGATTGCCAGTAGGGGTGACCAAGAAGGCATCCTGGGATGGTTGGGCTACCCGAGCCAGCACGTCCGGGAGGCCCCCAAGACTGTTCCCCCATTTCCTTCCTCTACCACATCCTTAGAGAACTTCAGCTGGAGGTATCTGCCTCATCTGTGGCTTTTTAACCTGAGATTAGCAGGTGGCAGCAGCCTCAGCCCCTTCCTGGGGCCCAGCAGGGGACACCTTCAGGCACTGAGCTTAGTTCTTAGAGGGGTAGAAGCAGGACTCTCAGGAACTGCCCTTGGCTTCTGTCCGAGTCCCATATGCCAGGCACAGACAGGCACTTAATGCCATTCCCCCTGCCCTGTGGGACAGGCCCAAGAGGTGAGCATCTCATCTAAAGCCACATGACTGAGGTAATAGAGCCTGAATTTGATGCAGCTGGCCCCAAAGCCCGTCCTGGGCTTGCCTTAGCTCCCTCACACCCACCCCCAAGGCCTGGCCTGTTCAAGGAGGGCTCCCTCTCACCGGAAAGTGCTGTCCCGAGTGATGGAACCCTGGGGTCCCTTCTGGATGTCAAGGTCAGACACCAGCTGGTTCTCGTAGATGAGCTGATCGCCAACTGCCTGAGGGAGGAGAAAGCGGGTGAGGTCCTCCCGGGGGTGAGATGGCTCCCGCCCATGTTCTCCCTCCTACCTGGACCGTGGTGCCGCAGTGTGTGAGCGGAACTCGGAAGACCACGAAAGCACTCGTCTCCTGGGTTGGGGGGCAGCTGGCAGGGGCATAAGCCAGGTGGATGTTGGCCAGCGTGATCCTGCGTGCCAAGGCCGTTTCTTGAGAAATGACCAGGATGAAGTAGCCACTTCTGAAACACTGGACGGTGGCTGGAACAAAGGACCCCAGAGGCCGATCAGGGCCTTGGGCTAGGATCCACCCAGCACAGAGATGGGGGAACGAGCTGGGAGGAGAATGCTTCAGCACTGGCCTGGGAGCCAGGAGACCTGGGCCCTGTACTGCCCCCATTTAGGCCAGTGCCATCCTGAGAGAATCCTCTATCGACCCATTTCTCATCCACAAAAGGGTTGAGGTGGACCCTTGAAGTAAGGTCAAAGGATTAGTTATCCAAACCAGGATGTTTTAAATCTAAACGTCAGGGGTGTGATTTGGGGACAATTGTCAAAAGGCAGGAAGGATATGCCGTCCTTCATCCAAGGCTCTCTGCCATCCACTGAGGTGGCGCAGCAGATAGCAGAGGCACCTCTCCTGCGGGCACAGAGTCCAGGAGAGCAGGTCAGTGCAGGGGGGTGCGGTGGTGGTGGTGGTGGAGTTGTACCTGAGTTGCCATAGTAACAGGGCACTTCCCTGGTGTCGTCATAGCAGCAGCCAGCCTGATGACAGGCTTCCCTGGAGCTGTTTCTCACCACGCAGGGGATGTGCCCAGAGACCACCTGGCACTGCTCCTGCGGCAGGTGGGCACCTAGGTTTGGGGACAGTGATGAGAGCCCAGCCAGAGGCTGTTAGGCCTCCCGTGGTCCAGAGGGCTTGTCCTACACACCAATGTAGTCAGGCTCGTCCACTTCCCAGTGGTCCGTGGTGCCCCGCTGAGGCCGCGCCAGGGTGGGGCCGGTAGGCCCTGGTCCAAAAGACAGCGGAGCAGCAGTCAGATGGACGAAACCGTGTTCTAGGTACGATGAGGTGGGCAAGGCATAGCCAGAGCCAGGCGAGGGGTGGCTGGAGATGGGGCGGAGGGGAAGCAGATGAGGGGTGGAAGGTGAGGGTGTGGTGGGCGCCACCAGGCTGGAATCCGGAGTCCAGGTGCGGTCAGGTTTAGGGCAGATCAGAGTGGCCTCCTGGGTGATATCCACGTGACCATCTGGCAGCACAGCTTCCATGAAGACCCTCAGGTGGAACCGCCCGTCCTGCAGGTGAGAGGGCCACAGAGAAGCTGGGCAAGAGCAGCCGAGACCAGGCAGCGGACGAGGGGTCGGCAAGGGCTGAGCCGACGGCGGGGCAGGGAGCTGGGTCAGATGCGGGATCCTGGGAAGACCTGCACCCAGGAAGTGATCTCCCTGTCCCTTCTTGGGGTCTGGTCTCCCCTGGCCCAGGAGAGGCAGGGTCCTTAGGACACGCTTGGTGGCCCAGAGCAGCCAGGCGGCCTACCTTCTCCAGCACGTGGCAGCCTCTGTAGTCGGCCGAGAAGACGGCCAGCTCCTGGGGCGTGGAGGTGACCCAGTGGTAGCAGACGGAGCAGTTATTCACCTCAAACCGGTTCCCAAATTCGTCTGAGATGAGGGAAAGGGAAGAGGGAGGGAGAGCTTGAGGGGGCTAAAAGATGGCTGCTGGGGCCCACGCAGGAGGCAGGTGACCCAGGACCAGCCTGGTCTTGGGCAAGCCTCTGCCTCCGTTGGTCTGGGTTCCCACGCCTGGAAGGGCACAGAGGCTTTCCAGCTGGGGTTCTCTGGCGGTAGCACCCAGCAGCAGGCACGGAGACTTGGTGCCTGGAGGATCCGGGTCTCGGGCGGTGGGCTGAGAACTTCACTTCCTGTGGGCTCAGTTATCCACACTGGGGACAAGGTGGCCAAGCGCGAGTTTTCCTAGGCACGCGCAATGGGGGCAGAATGAGGACTCCAGCGCTGGTGTGTGTTTGTAGAAAGGACTGAGCCGTTTGCCAGGTTAAATGGCTGCCACAGTCACCTGGGGATGCCCGCCTTGTTAGCCCGGAACAGCCAGGGCACCTTCCAGAGTGGGTGCCTCCAG